GGCAAGAAATTTCTGGTCAGGAAGCGTGCTCTGGAGAAGCGTACCAAACGTTTTGGCCGTTTCAAGCACGCCGTCGGGGCTCATTCCAGTAGGATCTTTACTGCAAAACATATGCCGAGCTACACCTACGGCTCGGAGGTGCACGGCTTCTCCGGCGCCGAGTGGAGGCAGCTCCAAGTTTCAGCGGCCAGTACGATGCAACCGTCGGCTGGCTCTCGCTCGCGCACCTCGGTCCTCATGGTTTACGACGTGCCTACGTGGTACGGAGGAGTCGCCCCCATCGTTCGCTACGCCAAGGAGATATGGGCGAACCAGACCCGCCTCTACTCATATATCATTCCTTGGGGCGAGCTTCGGGATTCCTGGGCCAAGGTTTTTCTCCAGGACGGGCCTTCCTCTCGGAGGGGGGTCTCGGGGCCTCTCAGTGCTATGAAACTCTCTTTGGCTCGGCTTGGGTGGAGTATGCCTTCATACACCACTCTGGTCGACGATTTTGGTACCGAGGTCTCTCTTACTGTTGTGTCTCCTGGAATGTTGTGCAAGCTCCTTCGTGCCGCGGTCAAGCGCATGCGCGAAAGAGAGTCTGGTGCGAAGCTCCTGCCTAGCATTCCAGGGGCCCGTGTTTGTCACGACACTGTTTCGGCTGAAATGAGGTCCACGAAACGTACCAGGTATAAGAAAGGATGTATCGAATCGGTTTCTTGTGCTGCTATTTGGACCCGCGTTCGAGCCCAGCAAGCCGGCTACCAGTGCGACATCGTGTGCGACCTTTGCAAAGATAGCCCCGATACGTTGCTGCATCGTTTATGGAGATGCCCTGCTGTGGAAGAAGAGCGCACAGCATCCTTAGAAGCTATCAGTGGCGGCTTCGATCTATTTCCTCCTCCCGACCTCAGTGACGAAAATGAGGATTACCTTGTCTATACGCGTGGGCTCTTCCGTCACCCTGGAGACGTACTGCCTATGCCCGCCAGAGAGGACACTGATGAGCACGGTGTGGAGGTTTCGTGGTCTATCGCTCCTGGGAAAACTGATTTCTCGGACATGAGGGGCAACATATTCGTGGACGGCAGTTGCGTTGCTCACAAGATTCCAGAACTATCCAGGGCTGGCCGGGGGGTGGTTTTGGTAGATGACGAAGGTGTCGAGCTTGCCGGTTTTTCTGGACCGATCTGGGCCCCGTACCCCCAGAAAGCCCAAGCTGGTGAGTTCGGCGCCTACGCTGTTGCTGCAATGCACGCCATGCAGGGATCGGACTGTAAAAACGTCGTTGTTCAGGCCAATGAGCCTCTTGTTAGGGCTCTTAGCTACAAGCGTCCGTATGCGGGATTGTTACTGCCCACTCACCGCAAAGTTGTTGAGGGCGTTTTTAAGGTGAAAGCCCATGTCGCTGATTCTCCCGACTTGAGCAGCCGCGAAAGATTCCTCAAGACGGGGAACGACCTGGCGGACACAGTCGCCAAGAGTTCCCTTTCTCGTCACCCTCAGCCCAATGACGGCGAGATTCGCTGGCTTAACCGGGTTTTGAAACTGTCGAAGGCTGTTGCTAATTTGTCTTGCGACATTATGCCATTGTGGCCCCGCCTTGATTTGAAAGGTATCCCTCTTGACAAGAAACCTCGGGCGAGCCAGTGCAAGGAGTCAGGACCTACTCACCACTGGGTCCGAGTTTTAACTTTTTGGCAGTGTGAGTCGTGCTTGCGTGTCTCCAGGGGTGTGAGGAACCCCCAGCCGCTTGACCCCACTCGTCTTGCTCCTCCTCCTCCCGGGACCTGTGTAAGACCACCTTTAATTGACCCTTCTGGAGGCCTAATGGGCGTATTCTGGGGGCCTCTGGGGGCTTCCTCGGGCCACCCTGCCTCCAACCGCGGTCTCCCTGAAGGACCGGGTCACGATTTGGAATGCTTCGGAGGGTGTCTTGGGGCCATCTTGGGCCGCCATGGGGCTCTCTGAGGGCCATCTTGGACCCGTGTTGTGCCGTCTTGGGGCTCTCTTGGACTGCCTGGAAGCCCTTTCGGACGGTTGTGGAGCGAGTTTGGAGCCTCCCAGGCGGCTTCAGACGCTCAGAATACCGCCGTCTGGGAGCGTCGGGAAGCCGAAAAGAGGAGAACCCCAAAATTCACCAAAAACCAACAGAAAACTCTTGGCGACCTCTTTGGGGCCGTCCTGGAGGCCTCTTCTTTTTTATCCTCACGAGACCTCGCCTCTCACAGGCGCGCGCCGTGCCAGGCGCGCCGGCACATCGCGGGATATCGAAGGGTTCAGGCAGGCCATCACCCGATCCTCCCCGCGCAGGTCTTTAAAACAGGCTGCCCTGAGGGCGGCGGGGAAAGGCAAGCCATCACCCGACTTTCTCCGCGCAGGTCTGGAAAACAGGCAGCCCCGAGGGCGGCGGGGAACGACTGGCTTCTCATAAGACTGGCTGACAATGCGGGAGGAGGCTGCCAATCGCTGGAGCTGCGGCCTGGGACGGGGCCCGCGGCCTGCAGATCACCCCGGCGCTGGCCCCCCGTCTGCCTGCTTTATTCTGACGGGGGAGGAGGAGGAGGAGGAGGAGGAGGAGGAGGAGGAGGAGGAGGAGGAGGAGCGGACGGCTGCGTCCGACAGGACATCGAGCCGATAGCGATAGCGATAGATAGGAGGAGGAGGAAGGAGGGAAAGGCCACCCGCGACGAACCTGCGGACACTGCGGCGGCGACAGAATGTACCCGCCGCCGCGGCAGAGAGTCCGGGAACGCTCTGATAGCAGCTCCGAAACGGTTCGTCCCTGTCCTAGCCTGAGGTCGGGCCTGTCCTCCCCAAAAATTCGAAAACAATCCCAACAATGATGTTCCCCTATGTTTGAATATTTCTCCTGTACAGGGACAGGCCCGACTCGCCTCCGCCACGAGGCGGGGCCCCTCGCGCTTGCAGAGGGGTGTGGTTTGTGATTCACCGCCGGTCGCCTGCACATCGCTCACGCGCTGGTGCCAATTGGCTCCCAGCTGGTGGGGCGTGAATAGAGAGAAAGCTGGAAAAACCAGGCACGGTTGGCACGGTCGAGCCTGCTCCCCTCCTCCCTTCTCCGCCCTCCGCCCCTGCCTCTTCCATGTCCTCGTCTTGGGCACCGCATGTTTGCCGCATTTGCTCTGGTGCGGGTCCCGAGGGTTGCACCACAGCGGCAACACCCGGGTGTGTCAATGCATGCTCTTCCTTGCACACAGTCTGGCGCACTGCGTCTGACCTGACCTGACTGCCCAGTCCGCGCAGGGCCCATAATGGCAGACGCGTCGCGAGCTGGGCCACGTAACGACACAAACTACGGCGACACCGAATCTACCCGATCCGTGAGAGAAGTTCAGATGTAAGGACCTGCATCGCGTGTCAAGCCGCCCTCGCCGATTGTTCCACGGCGGGGAACTGGCCCAGCGAGAGGTCAAGTGGCCGAACTGTAGAAAATGAACGAACCTCAAGACCTCAATATCTCGAAGAGCGTTTTGTTAAACAAAAAGCTCGTATTTGAAAGTCTGGCGGCAGCAGGCTTCACGCCTCCGTCCTCGTCGGGCGCTGCGGTGCTACCAGAGATGACTCTGGTCCCAGGTGGCCCCCAGGTGGCCCCCAGTTGGCCTCCAGAGCACCGCTCAAGGGGTGCACAATGGCGCAAAACGCTGGGAGCACGCCGGGCCAGGACCACCTCTGGCAACCTCCGAGCTGGAGGCCTCCAGATGGCCGGCACGATACGATTCAGAAGGTCTGAGCGGATGTTTTGTCGGCATGAATTTGAAATGTTGCGTGAATCCCCTCCGCCGTGACCGTGACTGCGCATCTAGCGTACAAGTTCAACGAGCTCGGCAGTCGTACGTGCGCGTCGGCGCAAAGTGCGCCAGCGCGTCCTCGCAATCTACGGGCACCCAGACACCAAACAGCCATTCAAATAATTTGTACATTCCCTACCTAGGCTCTGCCTAGAAGGGTTCTTACTCTCTTAGCTTAAAGGGGCCGGGCAGTGGAAATCGCCCCGGGCGGTTCCCCCAGTCCCCTGGGAGCGGTTCCCCCAGTCTCCTGGGAGCTTTAGCTTTAGCTTTAGCTTTAGCTTTAGCTTTAGCTTTAGCTTAGCTTTAGCTTAGCTGTAGCTTAGCTTTAGCTTAGCGTTTCGCATAGCTTTTCGCTTAGCGTTTAGCTTAGCTTTAGCTTAGCTTTGGCTTAGCTTTAGCTTAGCTCTAGCTTAGCTATAACTTAGCTGTAGCTTAGCTTTAGCGTAGCTTTAGCTTAGCTTTAGCTTAGCTCTAACTTAGCTTTAGCTTAGCTTTAGCTTAGCTGTAGCTTAGCTTTAGCTTAGCTGTTGCTCAGCTTTAGCTTAGCTTTAGCTTAGCTTTAGCTTAGCTTTAGCTTAGCTGTGGCTTAGATGTATCTTAGCTTTAGCTTAGCTTTAGCTTAGCTTTAGCTTAGCGTTACTGTTACTACAAATGCTGCTTTCCTGGGGGTTCCAACTCCTAGATAGGGTCGCACTGGGATAATTTGATATTTGGGTACCTGGCAGCCATACGGTAGAATGCAAAGAAGGTGGCCGGACGCCAGACAGACAGACGCATGGTCGGCTCCACCTCAACTCGCAGGTCGCGCCTTCTCCCCCGTCCCTTTATTGGGCCTGCATGATTGGATGCTCCCGGGGAAAAAACTTCCTCTTCCCACTCGCCCACCCGTGCTTTCCAGGCCTCGATGTCGGAGTGGTCGTGGGAGGTATCGATGTGGCGGGCGGGGCGGAAGGGCAAATGCCTCTAGCCCACATCCCGCTCTCGGCAAACCTCGGCGTGACGCTTTCTTGCGCACCGAGCCCGCGGCAAGTGGGGGACGTGAGACAGACCTGGCGCTGGTCGAGGTCGGGAAGCCATCGGCCGGCGGCAGGCGCCCATTGCTGGTTGGCGCAAGGTGGCGAAGACAACGCCCCGTGAAAGGCGGCGTACAAGCGGAATGCGCAGCCCACATGGCGCGGCCGCTGGCACTTGCCGGCTCTGGCTTCATCACTCTTTGCTGGCCGGTGGCACGGGGGCTCCCCACTGGACAGCCCGAGTTGCCTGCGGCAAGACCCGCTGACTCGCCGACTCCCCGGCTGGCCCCGCACCGCGGCCCCGCCTCGGCGACGTTGTCGCCTGGACAGGCGGCAGCCCAGTAAGCCTGCCGGGCCCCGTGGTCGGCAACCCCGCGCCCACGCCCACGGCGACAAGCCCAGTTCTCTCACAGCTGCCCAGCGACCGCTCCCCGCGGGGCAGCGCCGGCCCTCTCGCGGAGCCGCCTGGCGAGCGACCCTCCGCAGGGCTGCCTGTGCCTGGCTCCGCCGCGGTCGCCATCGCGGCAAACGCGGCACCCGGGAGCGCTGGCCCTCTCGCCGAGCCGCCCGGAGAGCGATCCCCTGCTGGGGTCTGCACCGCGACGCCCACGGCACTGGGCAGTACCGGCGACTTCTCCGGCTCCGTAAAGGCTCGCCGAGGGCGGCGCAGCCTTCCCTCAGTCTTCGGCTGGCGCGGCCTTCCGGCCTCGGACTGCGTGCCCGTCGCCTCGGGAGGCGAGCGCGGGCTCGCCTCCTCCTCCTCCTCCTCCTCCTCTGGGCCAGCCGCCCCGGCGAGCAGCCTGTCCACAAGCCGCGGCCCCCGGTCAGGCCTCGCGCCGGCCGCGGCCGCCACGGTCGGCTGGCTCCCGAGGGCGCGGTCGGGCGGCCGGCCAGCGGGCGGGCGCACCTCCTTCTGCGCCTGCTTCCGAGCCTGGCGCTCCGGCGTGTTCTCCTCTGGCACGGGGCCGGCCCCGGCTCCGTTCGCACCCACCTCCAAGGCGCTCGCTGAGTCCTCCACCGCAGGCTCGGCCACGGCCTCCGCCGGCATCCCGGCCTCGCCCAGGGGCGCCTCCTCCACGTGGCGGGCGGGCTCCTCGACGCCGCCGGAGCCGGGCGGCCCAGAGGCCCACGGCCCCGCGGCCGCAGCCGCGGGCTGCTCGTCGGGCGGCCCCGGGGGGGTCCTGCGGCCCTGCGGGCGGGCGCGCCCCGAGGAGGTCCCTGATGCGTCCGGCAGCTCGGCCTGCGCGTGGCGCCCCGGGCGTGAGCCAAGGCGCTTCTCGGGCAGGGTGGCCGGGATCGAGGGCTGCTGGTATGTGCCCTCCTGCCCCTCGTCAGGCTTGCCCTGCCCCTCGCCAAGCTTGTCCCCCCCTGGCTTCTCCAGCTTGCAGCCCACAGTGCGCCGGCTGCCTGGCCCGCCTGCCGCTGGGCAGACGAGGTCGCGGCCGGCTGGTGGGCGCTCCGTGCCCGCGGCCTCGCCGCAGCCCCCCCTGAGCAGCAGGCCCTGTAGCCTCTCGACCTCCGAGGTCAGCGACGCTACCCGCTCGTCCTGCGCCGCCAGCTCCTCCGCCCGCTCCTCCGCCGCGAGCAGCCTCTCCTGCAGGGACCAGTTCTGCTCCTGCGCGTCGTCGCGCATCTTGGTCATCGAATCCAGGTCACGACTCGCGCTCCTGAGCCCCGACTCCGCCTGCCAGAGCGACTTCTGCAAGCTCTCGACCTGCGCCTTCAGGTACTCGATCCTCTTACTGTGCTGCTTCAGGGCGATCGCGTTCTCCTCCACAAGGTCTTTCTGCTGGCGCAGCTCTCGCAACTCGTCCTGCAGCTGCGAATTGAGGGTCTGGGAGGACGCCAGCCGGTCCCGCAGAAGCGACTCCAAGCTTGATCTGTCTTTCGCACACGTCGCGACAATGGCCTTGAGCTTCTCGTCCACGACGGCGTGGACGCACTTCCTCGCCTCATTGCTCAAATACTGCATGGGCTCGTAGAATTGCACATCCTTCTCGGCAAGGTCTCCCGTGCTGAGCCCCTCGCGTGCTGTCTCGAGGGGGGGGCGGCTCGAGTCACGCGTCGCAGTGACCTCGCGCGTATACTCTGTGTTCATTGCCATCATGCGATTCTCGAGCTCTGCCATCTCCCCGCGGATCGCCGCCAGCTCCAGAAGCTCTCTCTTCACCATGATGAACGCCTGCTGCGAGACCACCCGCTGCTGCGCCTCGATCTGATCCTCCACTATGTTCGTGAGATGAAACTTGTCCGAGGACGTCAGGCTCTGATCCTGGGGGAGCAAGGCCTGAAAGCGGCCGACGATGCCCACGCAGGCCTCCCGGCGGCCCTCGCTGGCGATGGTGGACATGAGTCGGGCACACCACTCGCCCGCGCTTTTCTCCGACCACGCCAGCTCTCGCTGCACTGCCTCCTCGAGGCGCAGCGAGGCCCTCGGAGACCCTGCGATCGAGGCCCTCGGGGACCCTGCGATCGAGGCCCTCGGGGACCCTGCCATCGAGACCATGGAGCCCCTCTGGGCAAACGTGCCTTCGCCGCACGCCTGCCGCAGCCGAGCGAGCGACGCACGTGGTGCCACTGCTTCGATCGGCAACTGGACATGCGACTCCCGCCTGCCAGGCGTGAAGCCGTTTGGCAGGCTCCTCCGTAGCGTGCCTCTGGAGGGCGCAACGAGTTCGCCGGTGTCATTGGTCTGGCTCCTCGTCAACTGCGCGCCTGGGTGAGGCACGACGCCGCTGCAGGACCTCTGGACCGTGACAGTGAGCCGCTCTGCATCGTGCTCCGCCCCCTCTCCGAGGCTGACGTAAGAGCTGCAGCCGCTGTCGGAGCGGCTGCTCGCCATTAGGCGCCCAGACCGAGGCCCGCCGCCGCTGCCGACGCCGCCGAGGCTGCCGGCTTGAGCCAAAATGGTTACGGAGGGCCGTCCTGGAGGCCTCTTGGGCCATCTTGAGGTCACGTCGGTCACTCTTGGAGCGCTCTTGTGCTGTCTTGGGGGTCTCTGGGACGTGTCCGATGATCCCCCTGATCGCCCTAGTTGTGCTGGGAAGGCTTGGCAAAACGCCCTGCGAGGCCCCGGGGGGGGCGCTTCGATGCCCGTCCGGAGGGTCCCAAAGCCCCAGATCCCGGGAGTCTGGTTTTGGTGAGGGGGGGGTAAGAGGTTTTCCCCCAGCCTGGGCATGTAAAAATATAGGAAGAGGTGTGTATATATATATATATATACACATACAAACACATCCACATCCACCGCCTGGGGAGCTGACGCTTTCGGACCCCAAGCCAGCAGTGGATGGTGGATATGGATGTTTGTCTGCCCCACCAGGGCGACGGAAAAGAAGGGGTGGTCTTACGCGAGATGGCAGAACGACCTTGAGCGGTGACGTACGCCGGCCGCCAGCGCGGCACGCCACTTTGGAGACGAGGGCGCTTACGCGCGACCTTACGCGCGAATGTCGGCGCAGTCGAAGCCAGTTTTTCTTGCGTCGCCATATGAGGGGCGCGAATACATCCATATCCACCGCCTGCCGAGGTTCCCGAAGATCGGCCCCCATAGTCAATGCCCGCCTCGGACAACAGCACACAATGAATGAACGGTTGCACCTCTCGCCGCCCCGTCTGCGCCAGAACCACTACAGTGAAAATCAGCAGTAAGGATGCAGTGTAAGGATGCATGACCCGTGGAAGTCACATTCACCACTTTAGGGCTCCCTGAACCCTTACGTGGGCTCAAGATGGGCCGAGGAGGCAGGGAAACAGGGGTAGTCTTGATCAAGCAGCGCATCCTTACTACGACCCCCCCCCCCTCCTGCACCATCACCACTCCCCCCTGCACCATCCCCCCCTCCTCCTGGACCCTCCCCCCTCGTCGTCCTCCTCCCACTCCTCGTCCTCGCCCCTCACCCCATACTCGTCCTCCCCCCTTCCTCTCGGGTCGGGCGAAAGGGGGGGAGAGCCAAAGGGGGGGGGGAGAATCAGCTCACGTAACTGATTTTCCCGGCGCCTCCCGGCGCCGAGAGGCGGCTATGTATCGAGCAATGGGCCCCTCGGCGGGCCGAAACCAGCTGCGTGCGGCAGATTTCGCAACCCAGTCCCCCCCTTTCGTCCGGCCCGCTCCTCGCCCTCGCCCCTCCCTCCTCCTCGCCCTCCCCTCCTCGGCCCTCCCTCCCTCCCTCCTCGCACTCCCCCCCCCTCCTCCTCCTCGCCCCGCCCTCCTCGGCCCTCCCTCCCTCCTCCTGGGCCGGTCCGCGGGGACTGCTCTCCTGAGCGCCCCCGGCGCCCGCGGGGCAGTCCAGGGGCAGCGGGTGGATGAGCCCCCTCCTGAAGGCGCCGGGGGGGGGGGGAAGCGGGAGGGTCAGGGCGAAGGGGAGGGGCAGGGCGGGGGGGAGGGGCAGGGCGAGGAGAAGGAGAAAGAGGAGGAAAAGGAGAAGGAGAAGGAGAAGGAGAAGGAGAAGGAGAAGGAGAAGGAGAAGGAGAAGGAGAAGGAGAAGGAGGAGAAGAAGGAGGAGGAGGAAGGAGAGAGGGTAGGGGAGGGGAGGAGAGGGGAAGAATGGAGCGAGAGGAAGGAAGGAAGGAAAGAAGGACGTTATCCTCCACCCTGTGAAATGAGGCGGAAAAGCCCAAGCATCGGCGCAACAGCGCGTCCGCAGGGAGCTTGGGTTGGACCTGACCATGAAGGCGGGAGGGGGAGGAAAGGAGGGAGGAAGGAGGCAGGTGGAGGGGGAGAGGAGGATTAAGGAGGAACAGGATAGATTATTGGAACACGTTTGAGCCCTGTGGTCCTCTGGGCACCTTCAGAGGAGGCCAAGGAGGAGTAGGAGGAGGAAGAAGAGGAGAAGGCGCGGAGGAGGAGGAGGAGGAGGAGGAGGAGGCGAGCTCCCCTTCTTGATAGGCTTCTGAAGGGCTCCTGAAGGAATTCCAAGGTTTCGAGACAGTGGAATTCGGAGAAACCCAGCGGAAGGGGAGGAAGAAAGAGAGGAGGAGGAGGAGGAGCAGAAGCAGCAGCAGAAGCCCCCCAGCAGGAGGAGGAGGAGGAGGAGGAGGAGGAGGAGGAGGAGGAGGAGGAGGAGGAGGAGGAGGAGGAGGGAGGAGGAGGAGGAGGAGGAGGAGGAGGAGGAGGAGGAGGAGGAGGAGGAGGAGGAGGAGGAGGAGGAGGAGGAGGAGGAGGAGGGAGGAGGAGGAGCAGGGGAAGGAAGTAGGAGGAGGAAGCAGCAGGAGGAGGAGCAGCAGCAGCAGCAGCTAGAAGCGCTGACCCCCAGGAGCGTTGACCACCACGGCCGGGGGGACAACAAGGCACCGAACGGACCTCTCATGGGGAGCGTCCCGACCAGGCCTCCGAGGCGAATCCAGCCGTGGTGACGAGGGAAGGGTAGCGGTATCCAAGTATCGTTCACCCGATCCCCATCCCCAGCGGCGTGGCCTAGGCCCCACTGGCCGATTTACCTCCCCTAGATGGGGATATAGGCCGTCCCCTTCGGGTTACGAGGGTTGTATCCCAAACTGGGCGGGTAACCTGGTGGGGGTCTCGAAGGGGATGGGGATGGGGATGGGGATTGGATGAACGATACTGGGTATCGGCATCTTCCCAGAGATCCGACGACGCGAGAAAAATGCAGCATCGTAACAAAGAACGGCCAGAGCCCCAGACCCCACCCTCCCATCCCTCTGCTGCACCTCTCGAGCCGGACCGATCCGCGAGGGCACCGGGAACCGAAAAGTCTGCGTCGTGGCGAATACGGCGTTGGCTTCTGACACCGCGGGGATCGTTCAACATTGAAGGATTGGCCGTTCCCGAAACGTCAGATCGGTCGACATCGACCGATTCTGGGCCGCAAGCAGCGTTCAACGTTGAACGGCGGCGGCGAGGTCGCCGCCTGTCGGCACGAGCCTGCCGTACGCCCCGATCTCAGGGTTGTCCTTCCAGGGAGACGTAAGCCTCGGGTTCGGGGGACTCGGGTTTGGCCCGACGGGCCATCGTGAAATTTGACGCGGGCTCCCGCTGCAGACATCCCACGAAAACTGGACCAGATAAAATCTAGAACGGGCTCGTCAAAAATGCAGTCAAACCCGACAGAGGAAGGAGGAGGAGGAGGAGGAGAGGAGGAGGAGGAGGAGGAGGAGGAGGAGGAGGGATGGAGGGAGGAAGAAGAGGAGGAGGAGGAGGAAGATGATAAGGGAGGAAGAGGAGGAGGAGGAGGAGGAGGAGGGAGGAAGAAGAAGACGAGAAGGAGGAGGAGGAGAGGAGGAGAAGGGAGGAGGAGGAGGAGGAGGAGAGGAGGAGGAGGAGGAGGAGGAGGAGGAGGAGGGAGGAGGAGGAGGTGCGCCCCGGCAGCGGCGGCAGCGCACGGCGCGCCGAGAGGGGGGGTGGCCGTGCACCCCCCGCGCGGCGGCCGAGGCGGCGGTCGGGGGGTGGCGCCTGCCACCGTCCTTGAACGCCTCGCTGACGGGCAGCCTCGCGGAGCGCGGCGGCGCAGCCTCCCCCGTGCTCCTCCTGTCCTCCCTGCTCTCTCCTCCTCCTCCTCCTCCTCCTCCTCCTCCTCCTCGTCGTCGCCGTCGTCGCCGTCGTCGTCGTCGTCGTCGTCGTCGTCGTCGTCGTCGTCGTCGTCGTCGTCGTCGTCGCGTCGTCGTCGTCGTCGTCGTCGTCGTCGCCGTTCGTCGTGTCGTCGTCGTCGTCGTCGTCGTCGTTCGTCGTCGTCGTCGTCGTCGCGCCGTCGTCGTCGTCGTCGTCGTCGCCGTCGCCGCCGTCGTCGTCGTCGTCGTCGGTCGTCGTCGCGTCGCGCCGCCGCCGCGCCGCCCGCCGCCGCCGCCGCCGCCGCCGCGCCGCCGCCTCGTCGTCGTCGTCGTCGTCGTCGTCGTCGTCGTCGTCGTCTCATCATCATCATCATCATCATCATCATCATCATCATCATCATCATCATCATCTCATCATCATCATCATCATCATCATCATCATCATCACATCATCATCATCATCACCACCACATCATCATCATCATCATCATCATCATCACAATCATCAGCATCAGCATCAACATCATCTCATCATCATCAGCATCAGCATCAGCATCAGCATCATCATCAGCATCAGCATCAGCATCATCATCATCATCATCATCATCATCATCATCATCGTCAGTATCATTATCATTATCATCATCAGCAGCATCATCATCATCATCATCATCAGCATCAGCATCACCATAATCATCATCATCATCGTCATCATCATCATCATCATCGTCATCATCATCATCATCGTCATCATCATCATCATCATCATCATCATCATCATCATCATCATCATCATCATCATCCTCATCCTCATCCTCATCCTCACCCTCATCCTCATCCTCATCCTCATCCTCCTCATCCTCATGCTCATCCTCATCCTCCATCGCCCGCCCTTCGACTCGACCTCCTTCTCCTTCCTCTCCCCCGCCCCTCCCCGTTCCTCCGACCAATCTCATCTCCAGCACTTCTGGGACGGCCACGGGGCCCGCCTGATATGGTGAGGGGCCCCCAGGAGGCCGGAGAGTGCCCAGCGTCCGCCCGTCGTGGCTCTTCCACGGCGAGGGGAGGCGTGCTCTGCACCGACGTGCTGGCAGAGCGTGCCCGTCGTGATGATTTAACGACGGGCACGTTCCAAGCCGCCAAAAGGGGGTGTGGGGTGCCATGCCTGGGAAGCATGCCTGGGGAGCTCGCCTGGGGGCAAAACGTGGAAAACACGCCTGGGGAGCTTTGCAGGCTCCAGAGAGGACCTTCGCGGGAACCCCCACGGAGCTTCGAAAGAGCTGCGGAGAAGGCTTCCGGCGCGCGTATTGGGAACGATGAGGGAAACGCTCTCGGGACACGCTGAAGGGTCAAGCAGCCTGCTGCGGAAATGCCTGTTTGGGAGCCTTGGAGCAAGCCCGAATGAGGAGAACAGGGGGGAAGAGGGGCTGCAGAGCGGCCCCCCCCCCTTCCCTGGGGGGGCCGAGAAAAGCTACGGGCACAGCGCCGTCGCCAAAGGGGCATCGGGTCATCCAGTCCTGGATCCTGGATCCTGGAGCCTCGATCCTCGCTCGATCAACAGCGGATGTGTCGACCCCAAACCCAGGGTTTGGGAGGTCTTCGAATGGACCAAGCATTCGGAACCCAACCCTGGGATGCACGATGGGGGGGGCGCCCATCCTTGATATGGGGTGCGCCCGAATAGCCCCCTTGTGGTGTCTCCCCCTGAGCGGCCAAACTTTTCGGGCGGAACCCGGGGATTGGGGGAGAAAATGCTTAACCAACAAAGGACCCCTAACCCTTTGGGAGGGGACCTAAGTCAGGAGGACCAGAAACATTAAGGATAGGGGCTCTGCTCTGCAGGTGTACCAGACCAAAAACCGCCCGGAAGTGTGATCCCTGACGCGAAGACGGGGACCCAAATGAGGCCACGCCTCACTTCCCCCGAGGCTCGTGGCAGGCAGAAGGAGGAGGAGGAGGGGGAGGAGGAGGAGAAGGAGGAGGAGGAGGAGGAGGAACAGGAACAGGAACAGGAGGAGGAGGAGGAGGTGGACCTCGCCTGCGTCGGGGGGGGCCGCCTGGCGGAGCCCAGCAGCACGCAGCTGCTCCCCGGGGCCCCCTCGCCGCGCTCCACGGCGTCGAAGACCTCCGACCGCCGTCGCTGCCGTCGTCGTCGCCGTGGGCGGCGTCGTCGTCGTCGTCGTCGTCACCGCCGCCGCCGCCGTCGTCGGCGTCTTCGTCGTGATCGTCGTCGCCATCGGGGAGCAGAGGTGAGGGGAGAAGCGGCAGTTGCAGGGAGGGGAGCACTTAGAAGCTGCATCGTCTCCACCATCTTCTTCATCCTCCTCCTCCTCCTCCTCCTCCTCCTCCTCCTCCTCCTGCACTGCCTTTTCCGCCTCACCCTCACCCTCCCCCTCGTCCTTCTCCTCCTCCTCCTCCTCCTCCTCCTCCTCCTCCTCCTCCTCCTCCTCCTCCTCCTCCTCCTCCTCCTCCTCCTCTCCCCCTCCTCCTCCTCATCCTCCTCCTCCTCCTCCTTCTCCTCCTGCCTCCTGCCTGATCCTCCTCCTCCTCTTCCTCCTCCTCCTCCTCCTCCTCATCCTCCTTCTCCGCCTCCTCCTCCTCCTACTCCTCCTCCTCCTCCACCACCTCCTCCTCCTCCTCCTCCTCCTCCTCCTCCCTCTTCCTCCTCCCTCCTCCTCCTCCTCCTCCTCCTCCTCCTCTCCTCCTCCTCCCTCCTCCTCCTCCTCTCATCATCATCATCATCATCATCATCATCATCATCATCATCATCTCATCATCATCATCATCATCATCTCATCATCCTCATCCTCATCATCATCATCATCATCATCATCATCATCATCATCATCATCATCATCATCATCATTACCACCATCATCATCATCATCATCATCATCATCATCATCATCATCAGCATCAGCATCAGCATCAGCATCATCATCATCATCATCATCAGCAGCAGCATGATCATCATCATCATCATCAGCAGCAGCATCAGCATCAGCATCGGCATCATCATCATCATTATCAGCATCAGCATCATCATCATCATCAGCAGCAGCATGAGCAGCATCATCATCCTCATCATCATCATCATCATCATCATCATCAGCATCAGCATCATCATTATCAGCATCAGTATTACCATCATCATCATCATCATCATCATCATCAGCATCAGCATCAGCATCATCATTATCAACATCATCAGCATCATCAGCATCATCATCATTATCATCATCCGCAGCATCATCATCATCATGATGATAATCATCCTCATCCTCATCCTCATCATCGTCATCAGCAGCATCATCGTCATCATTATCAACAGCAGCATCATCGTCATCATCATCAGCAGCAGCATCAGCAGCATCATCATCAACGGCATCATCAACATCACCAGCAACAGCATCACCACAACAATCATTATCATCAGCAGCAGCATCATCGTCATCATCAGCGTCATCATCATCGTCATCGTCAGCATCAGCATCATCAGCAGCATCACCATCATCAGCATCATTTTCATCAGCAGCAGCATCAGCATCATCAGCATCAGCATCATCATCATCATCCGCATCATCATCATCAGCATCATCATCAGCAGCATGATCAGCATCATCATAATCTTCATCATCATCTTCATCATCAGCAGCATCATCATTATCCTCGTCATCATCGTCGTCATCAGCATCATCAGCATCATCATCATCATCAGCAGCAGCATCACCATCATCATCAGCATCAGCATCATCAGTGTCAGCATGATCATCAGCATCAGCATCAGCAGCAGCAGCATAATCAGCATCATCATCATCAGAATCCGCAGCATCTTAATCAGCATCGGCATCATCAGCATAATCAGCATCAACATCATCATCAGCATCATCATCGTCATCATCATCAACATCATCGTCATCGTCATCAGCGTCAGCAGCAGCACCAGCATTAGCAGCATCATCACCATCATCGTCAGCGTCATCATCCGCATCATCATCAGCATCAGCATTAGCAGCATCAGCATCATCAACAGCAGTAGCATCATCGTCAGCATCAGCATCATCATCAGCATCAGCATCACCAGCATATGCATCGTCACCAGCAGCAGCAGCATCATCAGCATCAGCATCGTCATCATCGGCATCATCATCAGCATCGTCATCATCATCATCAGCAGCATCATCACCACCACCTTTAGCATCATCACCATCATCATCATCACCAGCATCATCAGCATCAGCATTAGCATCAGCATCAGCATCATCATCGACAGCAGCATCATCCTCAACAACTTTATCGTACTCATCACCATCATCACCTTCAGCATCATGATCCTTATCATCATCAGCAGCAGCATCGTCAGCAGCAGCAGCGACCTCCTCCTCATCATCAGCATCATCATCAGCATCAGCAGCATCAGTATCAGCATCAGCAGCAGCAGCATCATCATCATGGTCATCAGTGTCGTCATCATCCGCAGCATTATCCTCATCAGCATCATCAATAACAGCCGCACCATCATCAGCGTCGACGTCATCAGCATCATCAACCTCATAATGATCGCCATCAGCACCATCCTCATCATCATCATCATCAGCAGCAGCATCGTCGTCGTAAACATCACCATCATTGGCATCAGCATCGTCATCAGCACCATCATCATCAGCAGCATCATCCTCATGACCATCGCCATCACCATGCGAAAAACCATCACGAGCAACATCAGCAGCAACATCATCATCAGCAGCATCATCAACATGATCAGCATCGGCATCATCATGATGACCGTCGCCATCACCAGTACCAAAGCCGTCAGCAGCATTATCGTCAGCAGCAACAGCAGCAGCGGTAGCATATCCATAATCGACATCACCATCATCATCATCATCATAATCATCATCATCACCGTCGCCGGCGCCGCTATCCTCATCAGCAGCAGCAGCATCGCCACATCATCTTCATCAGCATCATCGTAATCATCAGCAGCAGCAGCAGCATCGTCATGAACAGCATCAGCATCATCCGCATCATCATCATCATCATCATCATCATCATCATCATCATCATCATCATCATCATCAGCAGCATCATACTAAGCATCACCATCAGCATCAGCAGCATCACCATCATCACCATCATCATAACCATCATCATCATCATCAGCATCATCATCAGCATGAGCAACAGCATCGACATCAGCATCAGCATCATCACCAGCAACCTCAGCATCAACGTCCTTATCAGCATCATTTACATCATCCTCTCCGTCCTACGGCTCCTCCTGAAAACTACCCCAGGGCAAGGGAGCCACTGGACCCAGGACCTCGAAATCACAGGGAGCGCGTAAACATGTTGTACAGCGAACGTCCTCGATCGCCCTCCACATCCTCCTCCTCCACCTCCGCCTCTCCCTTCTCATCCTACTCGCTCACCTCCTTCCCCTCCTCATGCTCATCCTCATCATCATCATCGAAATCATCAGCAACAGCATCATCATCAGCATCATCATCATCGCCATCATCACCATCAGAATCAGCATCAGCATCAGCCTCATCATCAGCATCAGCATCGTCATCACCATCAGCATCATCATCTTGACTACATCAGCATTGTCAGCATCTCCATAATCATCGTCATCCGCATCATCGTCATGCCTTTCTTCACTATCATATGATTCGTCATCATCATCACCACCATCATCAGCAGTATCAGCAGCAGCATGGGCATCGACATCAGCAGCATCATCAGCAGCATCATCGTCAGCATCATCAGCAACAGCATCGTCATCAACAACTTCGTCACCATGATCACCATGGCCATCATCATCGTCAGCAGCAGCACCACCATCATCAGCATCAATATCAGCACCATCATCAACATCATCATCATCATCTGCATCGTCAGCTTCACCACCAGTTTCGTCTGCATCGTCATCTGCACCATCATTAATTCGTATCTCCCCTTCCTCCTTCCGCCGTCCTCCTTCTTCCCTTCTCCCTCCTCCATCCTCCCTCCTCCCTCCTCCACCCTCCGTCCTCCATCCTCCTCCCTCCTCGTCCCTCCTCCCCCATCCTCCTCCATCTTCCCCGACCTCCTCCCTTTTCCATCCTCCTCCATCCTCCCCCTCCTCCATCCTCCTATATCCTCCATCCTCCCCCCCCCCCTCCATCCTCCTCCATCATCCCCCATCCCCCCTCCCCAATCCTCCTCCATCCTTCTTCTTCCTCCACCTCCCCGTTTCTTATCATCTCCCCTCCTCGGGCCCACGCTCCCGCCACCGCACGGGCGCGGCGGCCTCCACCAGCACCTCCCCGCGGGTGTCCCTCTCCTTAACGGGGAAGACCCACGCGTCGCCCCACTCGGGGTTCTCGCCTGCGATGCTTGGGGGAAGGGGGGCGAAGAGGAGGAGGAGGAGGAGGAGGAGGAGGAGGAGGAGGAGGAGGAGGAAGGGGGGAGGACGGAAGAGGAAAAAGAGAAGATGGGGGGAGGAGGAAGCCAGGAAGAGAAGGAGGAGGAGGAGGAGGAGGATCGCCCACCATTGAGGGAGAGAGAAAGAGAGAGAAAGAGAGAGAGAGAGAGAGAGAGAGAGCCCAACGGTCCAGCGAAAAAACCTTCAGTGGGCCCATCGGAGAGGACCTTTTTTGCCACCCTGGCTGGAAGGCCGAAGACCAGCCAGGGGCCAAGACAGGGCCCCCCTGAGGAAAAAAACACGCCGCCGCCTGCCCTGTGAGCAGGTCATGGGGTCACCCCTGTCCGCCTGCTCTGAGTCCTGCGGGCTCCCTCGATTGAAAGCCAAGGGAAGCCCAAAATGCGCAGCCCATCCCTCGTCGCATCTCTGCCGCTGGCTAAAAACGGGGATGGGCCGCTTAACCCCGCAGGGTTGCCCGCAACCGAGGCCTCTGCCCTGGTCGTTGAAAAAATACTGTCCACCTCGACTGCACTACCGAAAAAACGCACGGCAGAAGCTGGCTAGTCGCACTCCTCCTACCACATGGCCTCTCCGAAAATCGCCTCCGTCTCGCGCAGCTCCTCCGTGGCCGCGCGCAGGCGCGACCTAGCATCGTTCACTGTGTTGGGACTCCCTGCTCGCAGAGCGTTGCACAGCTCTTGCGCTCGAACGCCTCGCTGCCTGGCCATCTCGTCGAGACGCTGTGAGAGGGCGTCCCCGAGGGCACACGCCGCCTCCCGGGCCCGCGGGCGAACGAAGCCGTCGCCCTGCAGGAGGCACGCGCCGTCACCCTGCGATGCGCCCTCCGCCCTCTGCCTGCGCCTCCTGGCCTGGCTCGTGGCCTGGCCTCGCCTGGCTCGTGGCCTGCGCCTCCTGGCCTGGCGTGGCCTGGCTGGTCGTCACGAAGGGCTGGGCGTCGAGAACGGCGTCGGACTCGGCGTCGTGAGCGGCGAGCGGGCCGCCCTCCAAGAAGTCCTCCTGCTCGAGCGCCATCGCGTCGGCGTCGGCGTCGCCGTCGAAGCAGGCCCGCGAAAGCAAAACGTCGCTCGCCTCCTGCTGCTCCTCCTCCTCCGCCGAATCCCTGTTGGAGGAGTTGTCAAAAGATACGACGCCTGAAAGATTCACCTCCAGACCCTGCTCGCCGCCCTCGGCGTCGGACTCCGCGCCGAAGGAGAACATGCCGTGGGGCTTGGCGTCGCGGTCGCCCCCTGCAGGAAGGGCCTGGGCGTCGGCCTGGGCGTCGGCATCGGCTGCCGTCTCCACGACGGCCTGCACGATGGCCTGCACGAGATCCTCATTCCCCAACTCGAGCACTTCCAGCGGGACATCGGTCTCCACGGCGTTCGCTTCGCTGTGCCCCACCTCATCAACGCAGTTGGGCATCTGTTTCGCGAAGTGCATCTCCTGCAAGTCGGCGTCGGGCACCTCTACGTGGTCCTCGGGGACGGCCACAGGAGCGGCCGCGCGGCCAAAACTGGGGGCCAGACGTCAGCTCACCTTGCGGTGGGGCCAGCGCCGTCCTCGTTCGCTCGGCCAGGCTGCACCCGACCCCCGCAGGCACACTGCTCCCGCGCCGCCGCCCTGCCACCTCCCAGTCTGTCGACACGCCGTCCGCTGCCGAACGCTGGGCTGGCAAGCGACGGTGCGCGGCGCCTGAACTCGGCGTTCGCTCCTGCCGCAAGGTGCGGCCAAGCCGCCCCCACCGCCCGAGGGAGCGCCGTGGCCCCCGGCTGCACGCGGTGAGCTGCCGGACCTGCCGCTGCCACCGGTTGAGCCGTGGCATCGACGCCGACGCGATGGCGGCCACACGCACGGCTGCGCAGCGCAGGCCAGCATTGCGGCGCGCCTGCAGCACTGGCTCCGCAGCCCGCGCAGCGCCGCCAGGCGGGCGCGCCAGGACGCTCTCCAGGATCGGCGCCGCCAGGGCCAGCCTGGGCACCAGCTCGCCTGCCAGCGCCTCACGCGGCTCCGCCATGGCGCCCTGCACCGCGGCAAGCTGCACGGCCTGGGCCGCGACGGCCTCGTGCCTCGCACGCTCCGCGGCGAGCCGCGCCTCCAGGGACTTGACGATGCCCTCCAGCTTCTCCACTCGGGTGCAGGCGGCAACCAGCCGCCCGTCCGCCGCCCGCCGCGCAGCAGCCCGCCGCGCGCGTCGCCCTGCCCAGAGGGAGCAACCGGCCGCTGTCGAAGGCTATTCCGCCGCCTCACGGGCAGCCATGCAGCCAGCCGCCGCCATCAGCGCCCAGGGCGCCCACCTCTGCGCGCGCGCAGCCCGCGCGCCCAGGGGTGCAGCTCTGAGCCAAAGTGGCTGCGGAAGGAGGAGGAGGAGGAGGAGGAGGAGGAGGAGGAGGAAGCCAGGAGGAGGGCAGGCAGGAGGAGCAGGAGTGCAAGGAGGAAGAGGGGGAGGAGGAGGAGGAGGAGGAGGAGGAGGAAGAAGCCAGGAGGAGGCCAGGAGGACAAGGAGGAGGGAGAGGAGGAGGAGGAGGAGGAGGAGGAGGAGGAGGAGGAGGAGGAGGATAAGAAGGCGGAGGAGGAGGAGGAGGCGGAGGAGGAGAAGGCGGAGGAAGAAGAGAAGGAGGAGGAGAAGGAAGAGGAGGAGGAAGAAGAGGAGGAGGGGCAGGAGGAGAAGGACGGAGGCTGGTGCACGGAGGAGAACCACCAGGGAGAGGTACAGACTTAAGCTGCCGGAGGGGGGCGGCCCCCGCTCGTAATCTGGGAACGAGGGGGGGCGAGGGGGAGGGGGGGGGCACCTCACCTGGGACCGCCAGTGCACTCTCGGGGCCAACCTCGGCCAACTTCGGCACCCTTGGCAGTCTCGCGTGCCGTCTTCGGGGCACTGGGGCCTGGTCCAAGACGCCGACATCGGCTGAATCCGAGGGCCGTCTTAGGGTGATTTGACCGTTCGCACCGCATCGGCCGCAATAGCGTCCGAGACGGCCCAAGAACACCCACGACCGGCACAAGCTGTCCCAGGAGGTCCCCAAGAGCGGCGCAAAGAAGCGCGCCACCGTCGCACTGCTGAATCACACACATCCAACATGGCCCCAAGACCGAGGCCCCCAATAAGCTCCGGGATGCACCCAAGAAGGCCGCGAAGGCCCTCAGGAGCACCACAAGAAGCCCCCCTAAGAGCCTCAAAAATGTCCCCAGGGCTTCTGGACACGACCCAGGCGCAGTGGTGGGACGCAGATCTTTAGTGTTTCGCCTCGCATCAAAACCGCTCCTTGCCTCCGCCTCTCGCATCCGAACTGGCCACTTCTCAGGGTCGCTGGAGCTGGGCGTGAGGCCTCTGAGTCGCATGCTTCAGGCTGGGGCGTTGGTATCTCGTGTCATCCTGGATGGTCAAGAAGAGGCGAGCTCCGAAGGAACGCGTGGGGGGTCCGAGCAGAATAGTAGGGGCTACTCGGGGCTTCCATGCCGTAAGAGCAAACATAAAATCCAGAAGTATTTGTTGCAGACGGTCTGGGAGGCTTCCCAAGGACTCGGTAAGTTCCCGGGAGGCTTTCGGGAGCCCCAGTAGCCACCGGGGGGTACCTGGAGCGTCTCCCCGATGGGCCCCGAGGACAACGACGTTGACGCAGCCTGGACTTCCAGAACACTTGCCAAGCGAGAAAAAAGAATGCGAAGAGTTTGGGGACCCTGGAGGCACCAGTCGCCCGAGACGTCCCCAGAGAACGACCCAAACCGGAAAACAGCGCGGCCACCCCGAATCCCCGATGACTCACCACACAGTGTGGTCACGGAACCTTTTTAACACCCCCGACAGTTATGTATCCCGGCGACGGGTCCGTAGGAGATGGTCACGGTGGACTCGGTGCGGCCCGCGACGGTACCTGCGCGGGCGCCACCACTCGCCAGCCGGGGTTGCGGAGCCGAGCGGGCGAAGGCAGGGCGAGGGGAGGGGGGGGCCCTCCTCCGTCGGCTCCTTCAACTCGCTGAGCTCCTTCGAGGCTGCTTCTTAGGAGAAGGCACTGGCCCTACATCTGCAGATCAGGCCCGCGCCTTCGAAGAGGCAAGGGTGCTTCTAAGAAGCCTTCCCCCTCCCCCGATCCCCCCCTGCGCGTGGGCTGGAAGTGCCCCTGGCCCAAGGTGCCCCCAGGACTCCCAGGGAGGACCCCGCGGCCTCCAGAGCACACCCGCACGAGGCCCAGAGGCTCACCGGGGGCTCCCAAAATGGGGCGACAAGCGGGCGGCACCCCGGGCCAGGGGCGCCCTTGGCAGCCCGCGAAAGAAGCGGAGCCCAGATCGAGGTTCGGAGGTCGAGGTTCGAGGAGGTGTTGCTCGCCATTTTCATCGTCTCCGGTCGGAAGGTCGAGGTTCGAGGTTCGAGGTTCGGGGAGGTTTGTTCGCGGTTGGAAGGTTGTTCGAGGTTGGTCGAGGGTCCAGGGTCGAGGTCGAGGGTCGAGGGTCGAGGTCGAGGGTCGAGGGTCGAGGGTCCTGGTCTCTCCCCTCTCCTTGGGGGCGCCGTCCCCTCCGCCACGCCACCCCCCCCTCCTGCCCTCCGGCCACGAGCGCCACCCCTGGCCCAGGCCGCGCGGCCGGGTACATCTGCAGAACGGCAGGGAGGCCGGCGTCGGTGCCATCACCCCAAGGGCATTCGGAGCCATCCTGGCGGCGTCGCGGCGGAGGCGGCGGCGGTGGCGGCGGCGGCAGCGGCAGCGCGGGGGCGGCGGTGGCGGCGGCGGCAGCGGCAGCGCGGCGGCGGCGGCGGCGGCGGCGGCGACGTCGACGACGACGACGACGACGACGACGACGACGACGAGGACGACGACGACGACGACGAGGACGACGACGGCGGCGGCGGCGGCGGCGGCGGCGGCGAAGGCGACCGACGTCGCCCTGACACTCCCGGAGGTCCCTGCGCGCCCCGGCCCTCGGGCCCTCGAGTCTCGAGAGGCCCTCCGCTGCGGCGCTCGGCCTTCGCGCCCGCACGCCCCCCGCGCATCCCAGAGAGAGAGAGAGAGAGAACAAAAAAAAACGGGGAAGGCGAGAAGGGGGGAATCGCAGAAGGGGGGATCACAATCGGACCTGGGCCACAAGAGCACCCCTCAAGAACGCAAAAGAACCTCCGCCAGCCAAAACACACAGAACATCCGAGGGTACCCTCCGCCAGGATGCACAAGAACATGCAACAAGCACGAAGAACATCAGGGTTCCCTGCCCGAACCGACCTCGATCTCATCTGTGGCGAATCAGCTCACGAATAGGCGAGATCCCCGGCGCCCCCGGCGCCGGAGGCGTCCATGCATCTCGAGGAGCGCCCGGCGGCGATGCCGAGACCAGCTGCTCGCAGCAAATTTGGTGGCACTTCCATTCCCACTCCCCGTTCACCCGACCCAGAAAAGAAGGAAAGAAGGAGGAGGAGGAGGAGGAGGAGGAGGAGGGAGGAGGAGGAGGAGGAGGAGGGAGGAGGAGGAGAGAGGAGTAGTGGGAAGGTTGAGGGGAGGGGGAAGAGGAGGGAGGGAGGGAGGAGGAGGGAGGGAGGGAGTGGAGTCGAGTGCAGTGGCGAGGAGGGGAGGGAGGGAAGGGAGGAAGAAGGGAGGGAGTGAGGGAGGAGAAGGAGGACAATAGTAGGAGTAGGAGGGAGGGAGGAGGACGAGGGAGGAAGAGAGGAAGGAGGGAAGAGGAGGAGGGAAGAGCAGGAAGGAGGAGGAGGAGGAGGAGGAGAGGAGGAGGCGGAGGCGGAGGAGTTGTTACTCAACGGGGACTCCCCTCATGGGTGGGTAAGTAAGTAAGGCGGAGGAGCAGGAGGAGGAGGAGGAGGAGGAGGAGGAGGAGGAGGAGGAGGAGGGAGGGAGGGAGGGAGGGAGGGAGGGAGGGAGGAAAGGAAAAGAGCGAGAGGACGAGAGAGAAAGAGGAGGGAGGAAGAGGAGGGAGGGAGGAGGAGGGAGGGAGGAGGCGAGGCCGCGGCCGCTCCTCGAAAGGCCCTCGGCGCGCAGGGCGTGCACGCGGACGCAGAAGCTGACCTGCGGGGCGCGGCGCGGCGCGGCCGCGAAACGGCGCGGGGCCGAGAGCACGGTGCCCCTCCGCCGGAGAGCCCACGGCCCCTCCGCCGTAGAGCGAAGGCTTTGAGGAGGCAACTGCCGATTGGGCGCGAATGAATGGGGGGCGACAAATTCGGGGGTGGACAGACCCCCCTGTAGTAAAACGTGGTTCAGTGAAAACGACCTGGGGCCCAAACCTGGTGGGCGCAAGCCTGGAAAATAACGGCCACGGCGCCCTCTCGAGAACCGAAAACGGACAATTCACTCATCGACGTGTCACTGTTGGGGGTTCTGCCCACCCCCGACAAATGGGGGCGAGACCCGAACGCAAAAGCCCCTTTAGTGGCCCCAAGGGGCCCCTTTTCTGCGGCCCCCGCTGCCCCCCCCCCATCATCGCCCCCACCCCATCACGCGTCCCCCGAGTTTCTGACCAGCGATCGCTCGCGCCGGAGGTCACTCGGGTACTAGGCAGAATTAAGACTCATTGGGCTGCTACGCCGGATTAGGCCGCGGATCAGGCGGGATTGAGCCTGACTCAGCGGGACTGAGCCGGATTAGGCGGGACTGACCGGATCAAGCCGGACTCCGGACCAGGGCAGCGCCAGAGTCTGGCCTCCCAGGGGCTGCACCCGAAGAGGTCCGAGGTGTCCAGGCGTCCTCGGTGACCCTCCGCGATCCTCCGGCCTCGGGGTGCCTCTCAGCAGCTGCGCCGAGCGCGGACGGGGCCTGCCCGCAGGTCGTCCGCGAGCGGCCGCTGGGGGGAGCCGGGCTGCGGCAGCACGGGCCGGGAGGCGGGGCAGCACGGGAGCCCCTCCGCCGAGGGCGTCAGGCTCGAGGCCTCCGGGCGTTGCCGCTGGTTCTCGGAGGTATTCCAGCCTCCGGGATCAGGGCGAGAATCAAGGGCTCCCAACTTCGCGCTTCGCGCTGCGCGAAGCGCGAAGCGCGAAGCGCGAACAACTTCGCGCTCTCGCGCCGCCTCCCGGGGGAGAGGAGAGGAGGAGGATGAGAAATCGGAGCCGAACCGCGAAGCGAGAAGCGCGAATAACTTCGCGGCCTCGATGGCGCCCTTGAGAGTGGTGCCATTCGTGAAAGGCTTAACGACTTCTGCCGTCCTTCGACTCGCGCCAGAGCGGCCGCAATCTGCTCCAACCGTCCCTGAAGGTCTCTGGATTTGCCTGGATCTACCCGGATTCACTTGGATTTACCTGGATTGATCTGCATTTACCTGGATTTACCCGCATTTATCTGGATGTATTCCCTACCTAGGCTCTGCATAGAAGGGTTCTTACTCGGTGTGCTTAAAGGGCCGGGCAGTGGAACGCGCCCCGGGCGGTTCCCCCAGTATCCGCCCCGCGGTTCCCCCAGTTACGTCCCCTTAGCTTAGCGTTGCTTATCTCATCTTAGTTTAGCTTATTTCATATTAACTTAGCTTATGTTCATCTTATCGGGTGTATCTTAGCTAGCTTACCTTCATCTTAGCTTCGTTGAGTTTTAGCATAGCAGAGCACAGCATAGCATAGCATAGCGTAGCATAGCATAGCGCAGCATCGCATATCATAGTATAGCCCAGCATAGCATAGCATAGCGCAGCATAGCATAGCGTAGCATAGCGCAGCACAGCACAGCACAGCATAGCACAGCGCAGCATAGCATAGCATAGCATAGCTTTGCATAGCACAGCGCAGCATGACATAGCATAGCTTAGCATAGCATAGCATAGCATAGCGCGGCATAGCATGGCATAGCAGAGCATAGCATAGCAACTAATGCTGCTTTCCTAGGGACTCCAACTTCTAGGTAGGGTCGCACTGGGGTAATCTGGCTCGATCCCCACAAGTCGACTGGCGAAAAGTCGTCAAGCCCTTGGGGAGTCATAGCAAGGTTTGCTCAGGAGACGTGCCAGGATTTTCAGAGCATCTGGCGGCACAGCCGGTGAGGAACATGGTTGGAGATACGGGAGTGGCTGGAAGCCCTGGAGATCTTGGAACGCATCGTCCTCATGACCTCTCGCTCCTCTGATAGGGGGGCCACATGCGAACCCTGCCCCTGCCCCGCACGATCTCTGACGGGGCGGGGGGGGGGTCCCCTCGCTCGGGAGCTCCCGAACGGAGCGAATCCCACCCTCACCCTCAGAAATCGTAAGGGGTTCACCTCGCTCGGGAGCTCCCGAACGGAGCGAATCCCGCCCTCACCCTCAGAAATCGTGGGGGGTCTGAACAACATTTCAGCCGTCCGTGCCTCAGTGCCTGAGGAGGGGGAGGAGGAGGAGGAGGAGGAGGAGGAGGAGGAGGAGGAGGAGGAGGAGGAGGAGCATCAGGTTGCGAGGATCAGGCTTGCTGCTCCCTGCGCCAGTTGCAGTTTCAAGTCTCCAACGTTACAGTCCTGCTTTCCGCGTCCCATTGCAAATTGTTGAAGTCCGCACGAGGGGGGAAAGCCCAACAGAATCCAACTCACCACGCCCGGATCGCGTTGCCTAAATTCCAGGGGGGGGGCCTGGGACACGTAAAAATACATGAGATTCGGGCCCCCGAGGCCATGATCCTTTTTGCAAATTGCGCGATGGTTGCGTCCCCGGGGCCACACACCCTCCTTAAACTATACAAGTTGTGCGTTCCCGAGGCAACCAACTCTCGTAAATTACGCAAGATTCGAGTTCCCGAAGCCATAAACCTTAGCAAACTACGCCATACTTGCACTGCCGAGGCCAAGAGTGTTCCAAGGCGCCCGAAGATGGTTCCAAGACAGCCCAAGAGGGCCCAAAGAGGCCCCAAGAGCGCTCCAAGAGGCCTCCCGAGAGAGCCCCAGGAGGCCAAAATCGTAGATTTAAAAAGTGTTTGAAGGATTTTGGCCTTCTCGCATGTTTCGCTTTCCAACGCTTCAAGACGGCTCAAGACGGCTCAAGAAGCTCCCAAGACCGCCCAAAGGCAGCCCAAGACGCCTCCGAGAGGGCCCCAAGACGGACGAAGAGGGCTCCAAGATGGCCCAAGAAGCGCTCAAGACGGCCCAAGAGGGTCCCAAGACGGCCCCAAGAGGGGCTAAAGCAGGTGACCACGAACCGAACATGCGATACTTGTGCCCCGAGAAGCCCCCAAGAGGCCCCAAGAGGCCGCCAAGAGGTCCCAGGAGGCCCCAAGAGGCGCCCAAGACGCGCCCAAGAGGCCTCCAAGAGGCCCAAAAGATACCCCACGAGGCCCCAAGCGGCTCCCAAGAGGCGCCCAAACCGCCTCCAAGAGGCCCTCTTGGAGCTCCCCACGACACCCCAACACATATACAAGAGGCCTCAGACCCACGACTCGGGCACGGTGGCGGGATGGGCCGAAAGCCACTAGGATCCGCCGCCCCCTGCTTGCAGGGGTGCACGGCGTGCTGGACGTTTCAGGTGTTGGTGTTGGTTCGTTTTCTAAAAGAACTCCCCAATGGGCTTCGGCCCGTCCCGACGGCCACCCGCAATTTTCCCAAAATCCATCTGTCAATGCCCAAAAACGGCCGTTTCGCTCGGGACATCCTCAAAACATCGCGAAGATGGCCCAAGATGGCCTCCAAGTCCGCCCGAGATGGTCCAAGACGGCCTCCAAAACGGCCCAAGAGAGTCCAAGACGGCCCAAGACGGCCCAAGAGGCCCCCCAGAGGCCTCCCAGACGGCCCAAGAGGCCTCCAAGAGGTCCTCCAGGAGAGTCCGAAGAGGCCAAAATCATTGATTTTCCTTTGGTTTTTGAAGGATTTTGGCATTTGCGCCTTTTCGGCTCTCCGACGGCTCAAGACGGCCCAAGAAGCCCCCAAGATCGCCCAAGAGGCCCCCAAGAGAGCCCCATGATGGCCCAAGTGGCCTCCAAGATGGCCCCTAGAGGGCCCCAAGAGGGCCCAAGAGGCCTCCAACACGCCCAAGATGGCCTCCCAGACGCCCAAGATGGCCTCCAAGACGGCCCTGGAGCATTCCAAGCGGGCCCCAAGTCGGCCCATAGAGGCCCCCCAAACGGCTTCCGACGGCTTCAGACGTGCCAGGAACCCACCAAGATGGCCGAAGTTGGCTCGAAGCTGGCCCGAGACGGCCCAAAAAGCCCCAAAGATCGCCCAAAGCTTGCCCAAGAGGCCTCCAAGACGGCCAAGATGACCTTCAAGATGCCCACGTGTTCCCCGAAGGCTTTCCAAACCGATTCGGGGAACACGTGGTCCGATAGCTTGGCAGGTCTGGCCTCAACGTTCGGCCACATAGGCGCTTCCAAAAAGGCAGGGGGCGGCGGTGATTCGCCGTAGGCGTCTTCGATCCGCCGCCCCCTGTGGTCTTGCCACAGGGGTGCACGGCGTGCTGGACGTTTCAGGTTTTGGTTTTGGTTCTTTTTCTAAAAGAACTCCCCAGTGGGCTTCGGCCCGTCCCGCCGGCCACCCGCAAGTTTCCGAAAATCCGTCTGTCAATGCCTTTGTTGCCCCAACTTGGCCCAAGATGGCCTCCAAGACGGCCAAGATGGCCCAAGATGGCCTCCAAGATGCCTCCCAGACGGCCAAGATGGCCTCCAAGACGGGTAAGATGGCTCCAAGATGCCTCCAAGACGGCCCAAGATGCCCTCCAAGACGGCCAAGATGGCCCCAAGATGCCTCCAAGATGGCCCAAGAGGCCTCCAAGACGTTCTCCAGGAGAGCCCGAAGAGGCCAAAATCATTGGTTTTCCTTAGGTTTTTGAAGGTTTTTTGCGTTTTCTTCTTTTCGGCCTTCCGACGGCCCAAGAGGCCCCCAAGATCGCCCAAGAGGCCTCCAAGAAGGCCCTATGACGGCCCAAGGGCCCCCCAAGACGGCCCCAAGAGCGCCCCAAGACGGCCCAAGAGGCCTCCAAGACGCCCAACATGGCCTCCAAGACGGCCCTGAAGCGCCCCAAGAGGGCCCCAAGACGGCCCAGAGAGGCCCCCAAGACGGCTCCAGACGGCGTCAGACGGACCAGGAACGCCCTAAGACGGCCAAAGAGACCCCCAGGAAGCCCCCAAAGGCCC